ACGGCCGCGCAGGCGGCGCGCCAGCGCCAGGCCGACGAACTGGAACAGGACATCGCACGCTGGCACGACACATGGAACGACACATGGCAGGGCCTCACGCAACCCCTGCAACTCGCGCCAGACAGTTGGCAACAGGCCGACACCCTCGCCGCATCGGCCCAGGCCTGCGCCCGGCAGCTGGACACGCTCAAGCGCGCCGTGCAGGCCGCCGAGCAAGGCGAGCAGGCCGTGCAACAGGCCAAGGACGCCGCCCAACACAGCCGCCAGACACTGCAGACCGCGCAAGGCCAGCTTGCGCTGCAGCAGCAGGCCCTGGCCGACCACAGCGCACGCCGCGAAGAACTGCAGCAATCCATCGCCGGCCTGCAGGCCGAAGCCCAGGCGCTGAACGCGCAGTTGCAGGCTTCGCTCGGCGAGGCCGGCCACACCCTGCCCGACGACGCCCAGCCCTGGCTTGAAGCGCGCGAAGCCGAATGGCAGCACTGGCAGCAGGCCCGGCACGACCTGCAGCAACTGGCCCAATCGATGGCCTTGCAGCGCAAGGAATGCGAGGCGGCCGAGGCAGATGCGCAGCGCTGGAAAAAGCAGTCGGAAACACAGTGCGAGGGTGCAGAGAACGGCGCAGCACCATCCCGTCGATACGGCTGTGGCAGAGCCGCCTTCACTCCCCATGCCGCCCCTGGAACAGCTGCCGCAGGCCCTGGCCGAATGCGCCAGCGACATCGCCGCTCTCACGCGGCGTCAGGATGCCCTGCAAGGCCAGCAGCAACAGGCCCAGGCCACGCTGGCCCGCCAGCGCGAGGAAGCGGCCCAGGCCGAATCCGCATGGCAGGCCGCCCTGAGCACCAGCCCCTTTGCCGACGAACCGCCTACCTGCAGGCCCTGCTGCCCGCACCCGAACGCCAGCGCCTGGTCGCGCTGCGCCAGCAACTGCAGGCGGCACAACAGCGCGCTGCCACCCTGCTCGAAGCCGCACAGCGCGAGCACGCGCAACTGCAGGCCCAGGCCCTGACCGAGGCGGCGCCCGAAGAAATCCAGGCCCGCCTGCAAACGCTGGAGGAACGCCGCAACGCACTCAGCGAACAACTGGGCGGCGTCCGCACCCAGCTGGCCGACGACCAGCGCCGCCGCCAGGGCCAGCAGGCCCTGTTCGAGCGCATTGCGGCCCAGGCCAGCGACAGCGAGCTGTGGCAGCACCTGGACGGCCTCATCGGCTCGGCCAAGGGGGACAAATACCGGCGCTTTGCCCAAGGCCTCACGCTGGACCACCTGCTGCACCTGGCCAACCTCCACCTGTCGCGCCTGCACGGCCGCTACCTGCTGCGCCGCAAGCCCGAGGGCGAGCTGGAACTGGACATCGTCGACAGCTGGCAGGGCGACACCCCGCGCGACACGCGCACGCTATCGGGCGGCGAGGCCTTCCTCGTCAGCCTGGCCCTGGCCCTGGCGCTGTCCGACCTGGTCAGCCACAAGACCTCCATCGACTCCCTGTTCCTCGACGAAGGCTTCGGCACGCTCGATGCCGACACGCTGGAGATCGCACTCACCGCGCTGGACCGGCTCAACGACAGCGGCAAGATGATCGGCATCATCAGCCACGTGGAGGCGCTCAAGGAACGCATCGCCGTGCAGGTGCGGGTGGAGAAAGGCGGTGGCGTGGGGCATTCGAGGCTGGTGGTTTCTTCGTGATCCGAAGCGTTTCAAAATCTCTTAGGCTGTTGTTTTTAAAAGAATTTCGGTATAAAAGAGAAATTCTCAAAAAAATACCGAAATGCAAGACCTCCAGCCATCAGCGGCCCGCCAGTACATAGACGCCGTATCCACCTTCGAAGCCCTGGAAGAAGCCCGGGATGAAGGGGCTCAAGTACGCGGTGGCATGTATTGGCATGCGGGTCCGGCGTCGTCTCCTCAATCCAGCTACCTGATCCGCACCACGCCTGCGGGCGCCGAAACCAGCCTCGGTCTTCGCACGCCGGAAACCGAAGCCATCTATGAACGCTTCATGCAGCGCAAACAGGAAAGCGCCGAGCGTTTTGGCCGGGCTCAAGGCCGCATTGGCCCAGCACCAGCGACTGAATCGTGCGCTGCGCGTAGGCAGGGTGGACCCGCTGGTGGTGGAGCTGCTCAACCGTCTGTCGATCACCGGGCTGAGTCCGCACTTTCGCGTGGTAGGAACGCATGCGCTTTACGCGTACGAGGCAGCAGCCGGCTTGCGGCTACAGGCAGATGCCCCTGGCCACGCGCGACATGGACCTGTTGTGGGATACCCGCAAGCGGCTGCAATTTGCCACGCAACTCGCCCGCGTAGACAGCTCCATGCTCGGCGTACTGAAGAAGGTGGACAGCACGTTCCGCCTGCGCAAAAGCCAGCTCTACACGGCCGTCAACAAAGACGGTTTTGAAGTGGACATCATCCGTCGCGAACGTGTGGCAGACGATCCCCACCCCATCAAACTCAGCGACGCCGAGGAAGACTTCTGGGTGGCCCAGGCCAGGCGTGCCAACGTGCTGCTGGATGCGCCACCGTTTTCAGCCGTCATCGTCGCCAGCAATGGAGCCATGGCGCGCATGCATACCGTCCACCCGGCAACCTTCGTCGCGTTCAAGCGATGGATGGCCGGCCTGCGCGAGCGAGAGGCCATCAAGCGCAGGCGGGATGTACTGCAAGCGGACGTGGTGCAAGCGCTGGTGGACGGGGTACTTGCCTCTATGAGTGCTTTCGGATACGTCTGAGACCTGTGCAATGTGTGGGCAGGCAGGCCTGGGTTCAACGCACATATGGGAAGTCATTGCGTGC